GGTTTTTTTTTGTTTTTTATTTTACCCTCTGTCTGTGAGTGAAAGACGAGGACCGAGGCAGCAGTGGACGGATGTAGAGGTTGGTGGAGCAGCAGCAGCTCTTTGGCAGCAGCGAAGGAGGAGGAGAGCGATGGCAGGTCTTTGAGCGTGACGTTGGCCGGCAAAGCGGGATCCAGTGCCAGCATGGGCGCCATAATGCAGTGAGAGAGCAAGCATTCTGGCTTCACACTGAGAAAAGACAGAGAGGAAAATCACTCATTCATCTTTGCACTCTAAACCACGTCAAGTCTCGACTGCACCTACAACCACCAGAGTGACGTTAGTCACAGTCACACATTTAGCAAACGGTTTCCTCTGTAGAGGTGTTGCATCAAGACCCTGACTTCTTCTTCAGTGGAGCCATCGGGGTCAACACAGGAAACACCTCCACTACAGTCAGTGAAGCTGTAGCTTAGGCTTCGGCTCTGCAGTATATATAACAACACCTTCATTATCTAAACGTACATGCTGTCACTAAAGCATTCATATTAAATATTGTTGTATTATAATAAACCTTAAAACCTCAGTGTGAATGATGTACAAACACACTTATTTATATCAGTTTGTGGTAAAAACCAACACAACATCCTGTTTCAACATGTCAGTGTTATCACAGACTGCGGTTTAACCAAGTCTTCAACTGTCATTTATCATGTTTTAAAAAATTCAAAGGTAATACTTAAATACTGTTTGTTACCTGGCAATACAATTAAAATGTACTATAAACAGCAAAGGAAAAAAAGAGAAACACCTGAAAAACTTTTAGCTCAAATTATTGTACAAACAGAATCCCAAAAGAACCATAAAAATTCAACTTCAAACAAGCTAAAAGTGCAAAAGCTAAAAAATAGCTCCATCCGTTTGTTAGTTAGCCGACATGGACAGTGACTCCCAACATAACAACAATTACTAAAAGGGAGCCATAGTAAGCTTTGTGGTAGCCAACAAATTACAAAAACTACACACACACACACACACACACAAAAACATATATTCAAGTATTAGCTTAGTAATCCCACCGAACAAAACATATTTAAGTATTAGCTTAGTAATCCCACCGAACAGTGACATCAAGTACACTGTAGCAAACAAAAACGTTTTTTATTGGAGTGATAATGAAGTTGCTGCAGGGCATAACGTTAGAGCTGTTCACTGTCACACTGGTTATTCTGGTTTGGTACTGATTAGAGAACAATGTCACCTACTTTCTTATTAATTTTTTTTTTAAAAAGCATACATAAAGATTAGTTTTCTCTTACTATAGTTTTCTCTTACTTAGATTAGTTTTCTCTTACTGACTTGCAAGTAATGCTAGCCAAGGCAAAAAACAGTTATCCCCAGTGTGAATACCCAAACTGCTAGTTAGCATTTTAGTTTATTTTAGTTTTAGCTAGTTAGCAACATAGCCAGAGTTAAATGTTAGCCTTGTAATAAACAATTTAAAACGTATACCAAAATATCTAAAGTCAGATAGTATCTATCTGTATTAAAAGACCTGTAGGCAAGATAATAATTATGAAAACAAAAATGTCCAAAAAACATGCAGAAAAAGCCAAACGTTACGCAAAATGCTACAGTATATCATATGTGAAAACAAGGCCGGAGGAAAAAAAAAAATACAAAACAACCTAAGGTTAAATAACTAAAAATAAAAATTGCTCAAACGCTAAAAGGCATCTACAAAAGACCCTAGAAATGATCTAAAATTAATATGAAGGATTTAAACCTTTTAAACCCAAATCCTGATTTGGGTAACTAAAGAAGGCTGGATCCTCAGCATTATTCCCACACTCACCTATCTTTTGGCACTTCAGTCGTCTCACTTCCATTTTTGCCCAGGCGTTCTCTGTGTGAAACAGAGCAGAAACTCTATCACTTTCAACATTGTCTATCCACGTTAAAACTCCACACGACTCTGCGTGTGTTTTGTAGGTCAACGGTAGATGCTGTCACTATCATTTTAATGCTTTAATGTGATTATAGATGCTTTTTTGTCATGCAGGGTCCTGAGATAAACACATGACACATGAATCACATTCTCTTCGGCGTCACCGTAACCTTTGATCGCCCTGGTTCCTGCTGCAATGACAATCAGAGTGAGGAGACGTGATAATGCCGTGGCTCATTCTGACTGCCCTACACACAACAGCTCTTAAATAAAGGCCTTTATCTAATTATCTACGGGGGTTTTTATGCCTGCAAAACCAGCAGAGCTTAGACTCTTCTACTACATCAACATCATTGATGATTTTGAAAGCAACCACAGGTACCTCAGAGCCCTCTGCTCCTCCTCCAGTTGATCTTTGATCGACTTCAGTTCCTTCAGCAGAGCCGTGTCGGTGCCATTCACCCATGTGTACACCACATCAATAGGCATGGGCAGACAGAGCCTGAGAAAAGGAAACACTTCAGTCGCTTTGACAGATGATATGAAGCTTGAGTGACTACTGTTTTATCCATTTTATTTCATTGTTTATTCCTAAATTTACCTTCTGTGTGTTTTAATTTTAAACATATTCATGTAGAAGCATAATGCAGTGCAGTTAAATGCAGTTAAAAAAGTGATTGATTATTTGGTTTTAGGTTTGTCTCACCTGCTTTGGAAGGATTTTCCACCCACATTGTCTCTGTAGGAGTCGAACAGCACATGATACTGATCTCGACTCCATTCAACTAGCACCTGTACGAAGAGTAGGACGGTTAATATGAATACCTATTACTTATAAAAATGTACAATAGACTTATTATATAATGTTTCGGTTCAGTAAAATTGAAATATATATTCTATAGTATATTGTGCATGTATGAGGCAGAAATCAGAAAAATGAGAATTTTATTCTTCTTAAAAGTGTATTTTATTTAAAAAAATGTTTCTTCGTTTACTCTACTTACTGTGAAGACAACAATTTTACTGCAACTAACAATTATTGCTGTTGTGAGAAAGTATTTCTTAATTTTTTTTAATCAGTGATTTAAACACAAATGTCAAACTATACTATAAATCCCCGTTGTGACTAAGTATCGACTTCTTTTAACGGATATTCAACTTTTTTCTTGATTAATCGTCCCACCGTATCATCAAACATCAACCAAAAATGTCCGGGTAACCTCGGTGGCAAAGAAACACAAGCTGACGTCGCCTTAACGTGTAATAATTGCATTGAGCTCATTTAATAAATCTAATGTTTCAAAATTTCGTAGCTAATTTAGGTAGCTAATTTGCTAATATCTGATAGCTTGACACATTGCATGAGCTTTTTAATGATACTTTATATATTATAAATTAACAATTAATTAATTTTGTAATGAAAACATATGCCATGTTTAATGACATTTCATTAGGCCCATTTTCAGGGGTACTTTATTTAGTTTTTTCATGTCTAATTTTAACGCTACTTGAGATATTTTAGCTTGACTATTGGGGGCTTTAGGTTTTTTGGAGTGAAAATATACGGAACGACGTCAGCTCACATGTAAACCGGCCTCAGGTCCAGCCATTACAAAACACTTTTAGAGCAAATGATGTAGCTGTTCTACAACCAGCTGTTTCTTTAGGTAAATATGAAAGCAAATAAAACATTTTACCTCTCCAAACTGAAAGGCGGAAACTATCATGAGAACGATGCCCCCGAAGCAGAGGTACAGCCCGTACCGGTGGGACAGACAGGTGTACGTCTGCCGCTGGACCAGCTTCAGCACCGAGTTCACCACTACCATGGTTCTGGGCGGCGAGGCATAGCGCTGCATTCATTCAAAATATACGCGCAGGAAAACGCACGAAACAAAGAAAAGTAAACATCACCCACACGTCCTGGAACTGTCAGGTGACCGCCAGCCACACACCGTGACACAAAACTGACTGACCAATCACGGACCACGTACTTCTTCCTCGTTCCCGCTGATTCTGCTGACGCATGTTGTCGCCCCCCAGCGGTAACAATAGGGGTTTATGATGCCTTCATAGTCTCCTTGGATTTTCAATAGATCGACTTGAAATCGCTACCTAATTTAGGAAAGACGACTAATGTACCACATTACCATCTTAAATGTTAAGTTTTTTAGAATTTACTATATATAAACCACAGAATTACATAGATATAATCCAAGAAGTAGTTTACACAAGTCACTTGATGCGTATGTTCGTTTGTTCACTTAACGCTTTTCTTTTTTTGCATGGCATTTTTTATTAATTTTAATTTAATTTTTAAAAAAACAGGTGTAAAACACACACATACATTTAGCTGCTGTTATTTGTCTCTCTGTTCTTTCGACATAGAGAAAAGGTTGGGTTTTTTCCAGATTGCGAAATGTTGATTTTTCTCATTTAGCTTCAAGATTACAATTATGACAACTGACTGTATATGAATGACAAAATGATTGAACTGCTTTACACACTGCAGTAGTTCCTGTTACTTGGAGGGTGACTAAAGGGTGATTATAAAAGCCCCAGAGAGCCGTCTAAGCTTTTTTACTAGCTACATCTGGCAGCCCGTTTTTTCTGGACCCACCACCCTCAGCCATTAGTATAAAATTATTTTTTTTACCTAATCATACGGATGTCCGATAATATCTGCCGACCGATAATGTCGGCCGATATTAGCATAATTATGTAATATCTGTAAGAATCCTTATCGGTTTTTCCTCCGATATTGAAAACCCGATAACGCAATGCCTGAGTTTCGCGAAATGACATGTGCTATAAAAAAGCAGCATTGCAGCTCATTTCATTAATCTATATTGATAATTAGTGTGCCCCCTATAATTTCTATGTACACCACTGTTCATTTAGGTATTGCTCTAATTTTATTTCTTAACTCCTACATGATTGATTGTTTGTCGTGGGTAAATTCGCAGTTGTATATAAGAATATTATTTAACTTGTTTTATCTTTTGTGAATGTGAAACAGTGTAACTTTGACCAATACCGGAGTGTAGGAGGAGCAGTGGTGGTTATGTTTCCGTAACTCCAGCCCACTGAGACTGTCTTTTGGGGAAGAAGTTACTGTGTACCAGATAATTGGTAGTGATGCATTGAAGTACACACGCGCGCGCAATGACGGCATGTGACTGTCGTTAACAGTCCTTATTAAAGTTCCTGCTCCTCTGCTGTTTTTGAATTGTGAGGCTGCAAACACTCGGAGCTGAGGATGTTCTGGTTCCAGCAAGGACTCTGCTTCCTGCCTGCGTTCCTGGTCGTCTGGTCCTCCTCCACCTTCATCGTCTCCTATCTGATCGCCGTCTTCAGACATGATGTTGACCTTATCTTTCCATACATCAGGTACGATTCCATCATTTGTCACACAGACCCAGCATCAGAGAGCGGCTGTGATCGGACCAGAGCCTGAAAACAGACAGTAGTAGCGGAGAAACTCTTCACTTTCGTTTTCCGTAAACTCGACACAGACCTGGCTGTGAGTCAAACTCCAGCTGTTTCAGTGTCACAACTTCAGATTTCCCCCCATTCACTTCTCTATTACTCTTTTCTCTTTTTCATGTACATTTATCAATGGCAGAAAGGCGTAGTTTGTTTTCTAAAATATAAAAGTCTTATTCCAAAATAATATTGAACATTGAAAAGATGAGTGAGGTAATAAATGAGTCAAGTCAACCAGCCAGAAGTAGGACATTAAAGATTATGAAAAAAGTAAAAACTGCATATTTTTGCTATTTTTCCAATTATCTTTCCTTTTAAATAAAAGATTTTCTTTTTTGTTCCATCACCTGATAAAGCGAATCATTTTTTTTTCTTTTTAAAGTGACACAGGTGCAAATCCCCCCGAGAGCTGTATCTTCGGCCTGATGACGTTCATCACCGCATGTGCAGGTTTTTACCTTTTCATTTTTTCACTTTTTTACCCCGTGAGTAGGCAAACTTTGTGAAGACAAGTCACGTTATAATATTTAAAGCAAAGAAGTGAATATGTCCGGGGTTTGTTTATTTTGTTTGTTTTTGTGTCAACAGGAATCGCCACCATTTATGCCAGATACAAGTTTGTGGAGAAGCTGAGTGAGGACTCACCGTTGGCAAGGCCGCGTGTCAATAAAATCGCCATGTGGCTTGGGATGCTCTCCTGCCTGAGCATGTGTATTGTTGCAACATTTCAGGTTGGTTTCAACATGTAGCATGGTGCTGATGGTAGTCACATGGTTTCGTTTAATCGCTCTGTTTCTTTTCTTCCTTTTCAAACGCAGGAGACAACAGTGGTGGAAGTTCATGATCTTGGAGCTCTGCTCTTCTTCCTCTCTGGTGTCTTGTACATAATCTTCCAGTCCTACATCTCACATCATATCTCTCCAATGGGGTCGTCAGCCGCAGTGCACCGTGCACGAGTGGCCATCGCCACCCTGGCTGCTTTGGCATTTATACCCAGTATCCTTTCCATCTTTTTTTATTTTAATTTTAAGGGATTCTAAAATATTTTTGATATCATTCAGAGCTGTAGTAATTGTGCAGGTGAGAAGAGGTTGATTAAGCACGGCGTAAATATAAAATGAAGTGATGAAGAGTTGTTGAGGTTAGGCAAGGGACGGTCACGATCAGCTAGCACAGGCGTGGGCAAACCTTTTGACTCGTGGGCCACAATTGTCCTAAAATTGAACAAGGGGAAACGGGTCAGGAGCAGATAGATGGAGCGTTCGTGTGAACTAAGATAAATGGCCTGTAAAAGTCATGCATAAAGGCTAAAATGCTAAAAATGCTTTTATCATAATGATAAATGCTATATTATATAATTTGGAAAGGTTTGGCGGGCCGGATTAAAACGCTGAACGGGCCACATCCGGCCCCCAGGCCTTAGTTTGCCCAAGCTTGAGCTAGCAGAATCAGGAAAAATCTCTAAATACTTGGGTTGTGCTTTGAAAAAAAAAAACAGTAGTCCTTGTCTTTGTGGATGTGAACCGTGAGGTAGTGCAGTCAGAGGGGTAGATGGGTTTAAAGTAGGAGTAGTAGAGAAAGTATATACTGAGCTCAGGTGTCACGACAGAAGCTGTGGTAGAGTAAGAGAAACTAAGAGGCAGCAGCAACATAGTTGGTTACCATGGTTACCATTAGGTGGTGTCATCAGAGGGGCAGATGGGTTCAGAGTTGGTGTCTTTCTGTATCTAGAGAGAGTATATGTGGAGCTCCGGTGTCATGACAGAAGCTTGGCAGAAAAGGAGTGGCAGAAAAATACATGCAGGTGGTGCTGGAAGACACCAGGATAAAAGTAAGGTGTGCAGTCCGAGAGGTAGATGGGTTCAGGGTAGGTTTAAACAGTCTTTGTGAGTCTAGAGATCAAATATATGTAGAGTGTTCTCAGATAAAATTACATGTTACCACGTTGTGAAGAGGGACACGAAAATTGAGTTCTTACTTTTTTTGAAATAAAGGCTTTGGAAACCCCTGAACAACAAGACCAAGAGAAGAATAAACATTGTTTATTACTTTTTATTAGTCTTAATTAACTGCTTGTGATTCTATATGATTGTTTTGGTCATTTTTCTTATTGGATAATTCAGCTGTAATCTGTGCCTTCTTCGTTACACAGACAACTCTGCACAGAAACAAAGATGACGAGGTAAACTGTAGCATGGCAAATCAGAATAGCTTTTTTTTATTATTTAAATTCAATTCAGCTGAGATTTGAACAAATAAAAGTGAACATGTTGCCAGATTTTGGAAAGGTTTTGACTTTTTTTTTTCCTGCAACTTTTATAGGATTATCCCTTCCACCTAGCCAGTGCTGTCTGTGAGTGGATTGTTGCCTTCAGCTTTGTCTGCTACTTCCTGACGTACATCCACGATTTCAAGGTAAACATTAAAAACAGTTACCATAAAACCAATTTCTGTTTTTTTTATGACTATTTTGAAAACAGAAACTCATTGATTTTTTTATTTTGAAAACAGAAACTCATTGATTTCCCTCCACAGTTGTTTACCTTACAGGTGAGAACAGAGTTTGAGCGCTTCCTTCTGCATTGAGCTCTCAGCAGGAGGGGGATGTTTATGGAGTTGTTGCACTTGTTTTTATACTGTAATGATTTCTTTTATACTACATAAGGTACTTTTTATTACATTGCTGTCTGCCAGGTATCAAGTTACTGTATTTTTTTATTTGACCAATTTTGTACAATCCTGTATCGTTTTATAAGTATATTTCTAAGTGTTTTCTACTTGGTTTGCACTTTGCACTCTGGACTTCCACCACACACTCCCTGATGGATCTGTAACCAACAATAAGGGAAGTTCATCACATTGCTGACACATGATTGAGGTGCATGTGGTTAAATTACTGTCAGTATTACAGTCGTTCAAGTTCTTGCGGCTCTAGGGTCACAAGATGTGAAAATGACGAAAGGGATCCGACACTGATGACTGATTATTTTGGTGCTGAAACTGAAAAATACTGTTCCTGCAATTGGCATGTTTTTTACCTAATGTTTTTAATACTATAATGGGTTAAAAACACTCCTGTTTTTTTTTTTTTAGAAGATTGACCCCGTTTTACGACTTTATGGTACTACACTGTGTTCTAGTGCAGCCTCTTCACGTGTCTAATGTAATCTAATAAAGAACAGGAAGTCGGACTTTTTTTCTTCTAGATTTAACCTCTGAAAGTAATTTGATTTTCAATTTTAATGACTGTAATTGGTTGGAAATGATTTAGTTGAACACCGTAAAATACAAAGACTCATTACTTATTATAATCAGGCTCTATCACATCGACCGGTAGATTTTGCTGCTAATACTTACTCAATGTGATCTACCAAAGAATCCATCTCTTGCTGTTCTAATGAGGAATTTGAATGAAATCACAGTTCACTTGATTTTTTTTTTTTAACTTGTCTTCGTTGATTGCGTTGTTTTAGACTTTGTGGTTTGAGTTCATTGATTTTCAAGATGCACATACAGGAAAAATGCATGTGTGTGGGATGTATTTATTGAGTCACAGTTCCAGTCTTTTTTTCCACTTTCACTCCCTGCATGTACACACACTGTGTTGCAACATTTCCTGGGGGCTCGTGCACAAAAGCTCTGATTCAAAGATATATATTAAACAAATTGTCTTATCAGAGCGTTACCTCTCAGAAGAAGTCACTGTGCAATTCTGGCTAAAATATTAAGATTAAAAGATTGAACGGAGACGATGGACCACGTTAGAAAGAAAGGAAACTAAACTGAGACACATTTATATAGAAAAAGTTTTCAAGTACTTGTAGTAATTTGTCTTTAAATGGTTTAGTGCAAAAAAAACCCAAACACTAAAATTAAATCTTCTGCAGTTTCTTCATTTTCTACCAATGCTTAATATAAAGTAAAACATTGACAAATTATATTTCTTACAATTTAATGCAGAAAAAACAAGGGAAAAAAAAGCAAATCTAGAACATTGTTTCATGTCTCCCGAGCTTCCATGAATTAAGACTCAAGTCATCATCAAGGAAAAATATTATCTTAGATCTTTAAGAATTCAGTTCAGTTCAGACTGACGGACAGCAGGGCCACTCCAGCATTAAACTCCCTGACTTCGCAGCAACATCTCTGCCTCCTGGTTTGCTTGTCTTGATCGCCGACATTGTAGCTTCAAGGAAGCTAGTTTTACACCTCGACACTTCAGTCACTGAAGGACGACTCGCTGTCAGAGCTGTTGGCGACGACCTCTTGATTCTCTGCGCTCTTCATTCCTCCATCAGGAACCGCAGCGTCAGGAGTTCTGAGATCAGCAGAGAGGATTGTTAATAATCATGTGCCATGATCAGTAATGAACATTAGAGGACAGCTCAACACTCACTCAAGCAAGTTGGGATCCAAACCCTCCATGACCATTTTATTCCTAATGGCCATTACTGGAACACCCTAAACAAAAAAAATGAGTTAAAATGTCTGTCACATGAAGCAGAAACAGATGGTTTTGCCGCAGACTCACCACTTGAATCATTTTTAAATATCTAGCGTAACGCGGATCCTTGGCCACAGTCATGACGTTCTCCGTAGGTGCTTCTGTTCTCTGTGTGGCAGTGGCGTCTTGTGCAGTTTGCTGAAGGATTGAATTAATAGAGGTTTGTAAATGTAGTTTTGAACAGTCTTCACAAAGGGTTTATGAGGGACACACTTTTATGCTAAACTAATGAATATGGCGTAATCTGGCCCCTGAACAGACAGAAAATTGGCTAAAACCTTAAAAATGAAGAATTCAATTAAATCTTCCCTGAAAAACAACTTCAAGCTTGTTTTTTTAAAACTTTTTTTTAGCTTTAGGCTAAGTCTATTTAACTTTTATTTATCTGAAAAGCCTTAGATATTTGATTAGTTTATCACTAAAGGTAACATTAGGTCCATGCTTTTATTCTTACTGCTGCTGTTGAAGGCGCTCCGGGTGTTGGACCAGGAGGTTGACTCTGGGGGGCAGCAGTAAGTCCATTTTGTTGCCGTTGACCGAGTCCATCAACAGTGACATCCTCAAGTCCAGGTATAGAGGACAGCTGCTCACAGTATAACAACGAAATTAAAATAAGAAACATTTAATGGAGTCATGAATCATTGACAGGCAACAGAACTGACCTTGGCTTCCAGTATAGACAGGGTGGTTTCAATCTGCTGTATTCGCAGAGAGAGATTCGCTAGTTTCTGTAGAATGAGAGGTTTGAACAAATTAGCAAATGTAACTTGATCAAAATATAGATATTTCTGAAAGAGGGAGGTGATAAAACCACAACACAAACCTCTTCACAAACTGTGGAGAAGCGGATCAGGAAGCGAACCGTGTGAACAACAAATTGATTGAGGAATGCAACGATTCTTCTTTGTTGAATGGCAGGAACCTGGAGGCGACACAAATAATAAATAATTAAACTAATAGCCGCAAATAATCCAGATGTTACATTCAGTGTATTAAGTCAAACTTTGGGTAGAAATGCACAAAAGTAATGTTTGTTGTTTCCACGAACAAGTAACCACATAACATAAGAACACACACATCTGTTTAGAAAGAAACATGTTCCTGTCTCATTTGGTTGCCTTTCTAGCCCAATTTAAGGGTATACATTAAGTAATCTCAGCTGAGGCATCATAGGTTCAAACACCTACACTATAAACGACGGAAATGAAGAAACATCCATTGCAACACCACTAGAAAATTGACAACTCAAATTCCCGAATAAACCAAATGTCTTACCCGCAAGAGTGTGTTCAAATTAATTTGATTTTTTGTTTATCGCCATGTCGATAGCCTCACTTCTTTTCATTTCCACAAATATTAGCTTACTAAAAACAAACCTTGGTAAGATCAACCCCGGAACCAACTATGGGCAGACCGTCTTCATCCATGTTGTTTTCCAGGTGTTAGAAACTAAATCAAATTAACTTGTGTTGAGCTGAATCCGACAAGTTAATACAGACACGTAAAACAATGCATAACAAATTAAACATTTGCTGTAGTGAAACGATTCATGTGACTTTTCTGCTGTAATCGCGTCTCGCGACGTCTTGTCGCGAGAGCTAAATTTCTACTTTTGTTTTGAAGATTTCACACATCCGGTTATATGTTTTCAGCCCTGAGTGGGTTGAGCAACGTACTACTTTATAATTTTAGCAATACTCAGATTAAATGATCTTGAATTTTATTCAAAAAAATTAAAATGGCTAGTTTTACACTGAACCACAACGCCGCCGCCGCCTCGTATTCTCAGACCTTTATTTTGAAGAGTTTTAACGCCGGACTAAAACTTGAGGAAGCGGGTGTTTGCGTGCTAACAGCGCATGTTAGCCAGTAAATGATATCACCATAAGTTTACTTTATTATTTGTCATCATTCAAGTCGTCTTGCGGCAATGGAAATTCTCGGGACAACAGAGAAAACAATCGGTTGGTATTTTTAAAATCTAACCATTTGTATTTCAAGACAAGCAGCACTTTAGATAGCCGGATAGTTAGCCGGCTCCGTCTATTTACAGGAACTATGTTAGGAAGTTTAGTCTAATAATAATGATAGACTACATTTCAATCATTAAGGTATAGCTTGTAAAAGTTAAAAACTTTATGACGTTATATAATATGGTCCCAAATTTGTATTATCTCAACAGACAAATTACATATCTTAACATGTTGAGGACATGCTAAAATACACGCATTAACTCCTAGTTGTCCACATAGTTGTATATAAACACATATATTGGTGGCTTTGTGTACGTCAGTGAGCCAAACAAACTTTATCATATGTGGTCACAGACAAGAAACGTTATTAAACCAACAGATAAAGTTATAATTACATTGTAATCATCTTTTAAACCAAGGCAGGTGCAATTTGAAACCTTCTGAAAATAATGATCTCCAGCGTCTAAACACACTATCACTCCATCTTTATTGGGTGGATGGAGCTCAGTGAAGTTGTGGGTTTGATTCCAGACATGTCACCCTCCCTAGCATCAGGACACCAGGATGAGAAAACCCCCTATAAAAAACACTTATTATGTTTCAGACCCAGGCCTCCCTCTGGCATCTCTCCGTCTCCTGGTGCCCCCACTGCAGCTTCTGTCTGCTGCTATGTGGCAGCTGGCAAAGCAGAAAGATGTCATGAATTACGACAAGCTGCAGGAGTTTGTGTTCATGGTAACGGAGGCAGTTCCTGGCCTGATCAACCACAGGCAGAGAGCTCAGCTCATCTTGGGTCTGAGAGCAAGGGTAAGCAGCACTACAGTGATGTGGTCATTTATATTTTATAAAGCAGCAGACTTTGAATGAATGCTGTTTTTTTCTTTTTTCTTTTAGTTGGTTCTGGAGTGGTGCAAAGGTTCTGACCGAGGTTCTGTTGATTCTCAGCTGATCCAGAACTATTTAGAACAACTCCCAATCACCTCAGATGTGAGTTTGATGACATTATTTCTCATAAAAACTGATAAAAGTCAACAGTAATGCAGTGATTCAATCCATCTGTGACAGAGCTCAGATGCTGAGGTGAAAACAATCGAGTACACATTTATTGCACTCGTTCAGAGCTTGCTGAAAGATCCGGCAGAGAGAGCGTACTTCTTTCAGGTCAGACTCATCTTACACACTAATTCATTATCCTTTAAAAAACTGTAAAAAAGTGACAATAACTCTTTTCCTGTAGGAGATTTTCCCGGTGGAATATGGGACACAATATGATGCAGCCCTGCTGGTGTTAATGTGGGAGTTTCTCTCCAAACTGGAAAAGATGCTGCCGGTTCCAGACCTCAAACAGGTACTTTGGTGATCCAGATAGTTTTGCCAGTGGTGTCCACGTGTTAAGGTCTTTTTTTCCTAACCAAACAATAACTACAGCCGTGCTGTGGTTGCAGACTGCTGCCTGGCTCGCATCGACTCCTTCTGCCTTGGAGGAATGTGTTCAGTCGTCACCTGCAGAGTTGAGCTTGATCTTCCAGCAGTTCATGAATGCGGGGATGCTAAAAATACCTCGTAAGTAGAGACGCAGGTAATGGTCGAAGTACAAATGTAACATGAATGTAATGTTTATTGTAGTAATAGCATCACTCATCAGTTCTGCGTGACTTTATATCATGACACTGATTTTTTTTGTTTCCCAATTCAACATTACATTCTATTTGTACTTTTCTGAATGGGTGTTAGTGTAAAATGTACTTAGTTGTTGTTCAGTAAATTGAGCCATATTGATCTGTATTACAATTTTAATACAAGATTTGTCCCAGTTTGCCTTTTTTTCAAATTTCTGGGTTTGTTCCCTAGGATAACTACATACCTAGTGGCGCCGCCCATGTGGCAGCCTGTGTGGGTTGCAAATACTCACGCTGAGAGTTTTTTTTTCTTTTACTTTTTTTCTACAGATGGACCTTCCTCCAACATCGGCAGCTGCATCATGTCGGCTTTATCCATCCCTCCCTCACAAAAGCCCAACATCTCAGTTGGACTGGGATCCATCCACAGCTACGCCAGCATCATCTCGGACCAGTACAGCATTGTCGCCGTTTACACCGAAGAGGAAGCCGAAGGAGACGGTGCTGTGTTTGAGTCAGCCGAGGTCCAAGTCCACGCAGATTTCTGCGAAAACGAAATTGTGACTGTAACACTAGAGGACGCCGCCGTCCAGGAGTGTGTCGGCTCCAGCGTGGAGGCAACAGGTGAAGCTGTGGACGTGGCCAAAGCGCTGGAAACTCTGACAAGAACGTTTGCTCTAAGAAAGGAGAACATCAGTCAGGACGGACTCACAGGAAAGAACAGTGATGCAGCGAATGACGAGAACACAAACGACCAACTGGAGATCTGTTTTCACGCCGAAGATCTGAGCGAAGCCACGGAAGAAGTGAAGGGTGATTCCACCGCTCCTGAAGATCCAGAGAGTCAACTCATCTCCTCTGTGACAGAATTCACAGACAACTATGAATCCCCCACACAAGAAAAAGTGACAGATGACGACAGTGATGCCCCGGCCTCCGAATCACGGGAAACTTCCAGCCCTGTCAACATCCGCAGGTCTTCACGTCTCAAAGTCAAGACTTCACATGGTTGGCAGGAGGTGCAAACATGCAAGAGAACAGCAAAGGAGGTGCAGCTCTCTCTGCCGGAACTTTCAGAAAACGCAATGTACGTACGCTTTTTTAGTCATCATGTTATTCTATAAAAAAATCTGAACTTTGGTTTAGATAATGAGCTGGTCGATTTGAAGTCTACACCAACTTAAAAAAGATGATGTGATGACAAAAACAGAGTTTTTTTGTCTGTCAATTACATTCATAGAGAGTCTAAATTTAAAATACTAACAAGCTTGTTTTTCATTTCACCAGGAACAAAGAAGGTGTGTCAGTTGCTCCCACTGTGATTGCAATCAAAGGACTGGACAAAGGTAAAACGGGGAAGGCTCAATTTTGGGTTATTTAGATTATTTTATAATCAATAAAAATACCAAATGTTTCCACTAGGATTTTTTTTTGATCACCGCCAACAGTAAGCAGATATAGCAACATGAAGCCGACTTCAGCAAATATAGACATTGGGTTTAGCACTTAAGGCGATATATAGCACTTAAGGCGTCTGAGTTATTAAACTTATTATCACCTTGGACATTGTTTACTGGTCAACCCAGCGCCACCTTGTGGGACACTTTAGGATATTTATTATTATTTCCTGTACAGTAATGTCATCCAGTCCATTATTTTGTGTCTGCTGCAATTTTAAGTAATGGCAGCAATCGTTACATAACAGTTGACTGACACTGGAAACTCTAGCATCATTGTCAGAACTGGAGCAAAGCATTTTTTTTGTTTGCAGGTGACTCGGAAGAAACGACTTCCATCATCTTCACCTGCTCACAGTGTCCCTTCCACAGCTCTCCTGCAAACAGCCCTCCTCACTTCCATATGCAGAGCATTCCAACAGAGGAGTACAAAGCTCTGTCAGGGGCCAAAGTCACGCCGTCCCCTTGTAGCACTGATGAAATCTTTACATCCATCAAACTCTTCCCTAAAGAAAGCCAACAGCAAATCAGAGCGCAGGTGTCGGATGACAACAAAAGTCCAGCAGACGTTGCAGAGCCGCAGGACAAACACAAGGGTCTCATATGTGAGACGTGTGGCAAGACATTCACGCGTACCTCAGACGTTAGGAGACACCAGCTCACCCACACTGGAGAGAGACCCTTTCATTGTTCTCAGTGCGAGCGAACCTTCCAGCACTCGTGGGACCTGGCGAAGCACGAGAGCAAAGATCACGGCGTGCCCATCTCTTTCTCCTGCCCACTCTGCCGCAGCAGCTTCACCAACCTCCGTGCTTTGACTATGCATCACAAGAAGTCCCACTCCCAGGAGAGTCAACTCCCTCACATCTGCTCCATCTGCAGCAAGAGCTTCGTGAGTTCCGCTGAGTTCCTGGAACACAGGAAGTCCCACGTGAGCAGCAAATGCTACATTTGCCGGCAGTGCGGCGAAGGCTTTGACTCTGTGCTGGCACGATCCCAGCATCGGCAGGTGCATCAGGTGAAGCACCCTTTTAAGTGTCCGCACTGTGAGAAAGCCTTCACTCGGAGGTCTGACGTGAAGAGGCATTTGTCCACTCACACTGGGGAGTGTCCTTACCAGTGTAACCACTGCAGTAAACGATTCGCCCTGCGCTTTATGCTAACAAAACACATGCGTGTTCACACAGGCGAAAGGCCTTTCCAGTGCTCCCACTGCCCAAAGAAGTTCACTTTGGTGTCAGTGCTTGCCAGACATGAGAGAATGCACACGGGGGAGAAACCTTACCTCTGCTCCCAGTGTGGGAAGGGATTTATGTCTCAAGGGGAACTTTCAAAACATCATCGGTCACACGTGGATGAAAAACCATACTCCTGTCCTCAGTGCGATAAACGTTTCAAGACCAAAAAAACCCAGCAGGAACACATCGTTTCCCATAGTGGAGTTCGACCGTATCCCTGCACCTACTGCGGGAAGGGCTTTGCCAAACCGTACGCACTAACCCGACACAACCTCATACATACGGGGGAGAGACCGTTTTCCTGCGGACACTGCGAAAAGTCGTTCCTGACGCTTTCTGAGGTGCAGCTTCACGAGAGGATCCACACCGGGGAGAGACCATATCCCTGCAACATCTGTGACTTCAAATTTAAGAGTTCATCGGAGTTGGCGCGTCACAAACGTACACACTCGGGCACAAAGCCAGCCAAACTGCAGTGTGAGCAGTGCACAACATGTTTTACTTCCAGGATTAAGCTTGAAAGACACATGGAGAGTCACAGGGAGGACGGAGGAGCAGCTGAGTTTGATCAAAATGACACTTCAGATATTTCAGCTTTAACAAATTAAACAACTTGTGGTTTGTGGATAGTTGTATTCAACATTTGGGAGACCTACTGTAACATAGGTTGTTAATGTTGTTAGACACAAATAATAATAGGATTTTTTTTTCCAGTGTTACTGTATCATGTTCTTTTTGACACTGGGAAATAAATCCAGTTCATGTGAGTTGTTGAAGCATTGCTTTGTCTTTTACTGATACATTTATTCTTGAGAGAAAGAGAAGCTGAAGAGAGAAAATCTGAACACTCTAAACAATTCATACCGTCAGTTATCCTAATCCTATAGTCAATACAGAGTCTAATATTTTATAATCAAAATGATAAAAATGATCTAAATTATAAAATTTGGCAAAACATTGTTGAAACGTGAATAACCTAAATAATCTTTCTCTGTAAATTAAAAACACCTCAGAATTTAAATAAAAATCCCCTGTGGCCTAAACACAGCAAAGGCTGTAAAATGAGACTAGATTGCACACACATTTCTGACCCCACCCATCTGTCTGGGTATCCCCTTGTGGCCATTATGTGGCAATAATGGGCATCCTAATAAAAACGAGTCATTTTAATGTGTTTAATTAACCGAGAGTCTTTGGTTAGCCCTGAATGGAGGAGCGGTTGTTGAAAAGGAAGTCACCACAGAACAGGAATTACCAGGATTAGAATGGTTTCCCAACACCAGTGACCCACAAAATCCCATCAGTCAGTGATTTAAATTAGAGTCTAAGTGTCTCAACAGATGGTTCAAAAATCATAACCATTTGGAATAAAGAAAAAATGCAGCAAGAAATAACAGTTTTAGGAATATAAAAAAGAACCAGAGTTTTGTAAAGATGGCCATGAAAAAATCTATCACTTTTTTATGAACTCTCAAGTCAGAAATAATAAGTATGTAAACTAAAAGAATAGACAAATGATTATTACAATCAAAGGTTAAAAGGTCAGCAGGTTAAACAAACCATTGAGGAATACATCAAAATTGACCAAAATACAAAAAGCTAAGTTGGAGAAATAGCTAGCTTACTATCAAGCTAGTTTACAAAATTAGCCTCAAATTAGCTAACTATTAAGCTAGTTTTAGCCTCAAATTAGCTTTTTGATTTATTGTGCTGTTCTAACAAATACTCTGCTTTCTATAATTTTGTTTAGTTAAATGACAAAATTAAACATTTCAATTGTTTTTTGTGCTACATGACTTGAGCAAACCAGAATATAAAGCTAAGATTATGAATTCATTTTTTAAACTGTGCGATGGCAGATGGCATCCATTAAATTGACTTTTGCTGGAGTTCTCAAATTGGCGTTCAGTGGGCTAAAAAAGAACCTGGAGCTTCTTTATATCGTAATAAAGTTTAGAGATTATTTTCACACCATTTCTTTCTCAAATGGACCAAGAATTTTAACTCCTAGGATGCCTGCTCCTCCTCCACACCGAAAGAGGGTGTGCGTGGAGAAACTCTCGCTGTGTCCCAGTGCAATCACCCCCTGCCTTCGCCAGAGTGAGGGGCAGCAGTGAGCGAGCAGTTGTGACTCGACGTGACTGTCAGCAGAGGAAGCTGAAGACCATGCAGGTGGAAAGGACACCCAAAACAAACAGATAAACAGGGTGGAAAGACGCAGGGCTGCGGAGACAGATAACGGCGGGACGCTGGAGACCATCAGTAAGATTTACTGTCCAGTCTGCGACGCCTCTGTTGGCGGTGGGCTATTAACCTGTCATAAGGAGGTGGGAGGGGTATTGTGTGTTGCGGAGTGAAGGCAGCAATAGAGGCAACAATAAAGAGGGGGAGTGTGTAAAAGGAGAGAGAGAAGGGAGAAGATAAAGCCTGAGCCGAAACCATGAGCTCTCCACTGTCTTACGACCCGCTCTCAGGTCGGGCGAGCCCCAGCCGACGCGTTTTAGACTGGGAGCGCGAGCAGCTAGCCGTGCGAAGAATTTCCTCTTCACGCAGTCTGGACCTCCTCACCCCTCCTCCTCTTCCTCGGCGACCCTCTGCCATCCCTGGATACTTGCTCCCGCCATACCAACAGCCGGAGGAGCACTTCCACCACCAACAGCAACAGCAGCAGAGACTTTCCTTGTCCGTGTGCTCCGAGGCTTCGCTGGCGCCCCCTGCACCTCCACCTGTGGGCACTGCCCCACCCTGTTGCCGCCCAGTGAGAGTAATGCACCTCCTGCGCCTGGGTCTCCTGGCCTTCAGCTGCCTTTTCTGGGCAGCCGGCCTGGCCCTGTTCACCCTGGGTGTTTGGGCCCAGATCTCCTTGGCAGACTACATGCTATTGTCTGCCAATCGCTACCCCAACGCTCCAATCATCCTCCTGTCCACAGGGGCAGCTGTCACCACCTGGGGCTTCCTCGGGTGTCTGGGTGTAGCTGCAAACCTGCCCAGTGTGCTGAGGGCCTATGGGTTCTTTCAACTGGCTGCTCTCATAGCCGGTTTGGCGGGCGGTCTCTCGGGCCTCTTCTACCGTGAAGACATTGCTGGAGGATTTCGCAGCGGCTTATTGCGAGCAGTGGCAGGTTACACGGAGGACGAGGGCCGTGCCGATGCACTAGACAGCCTGCAGAGGGCCCTGGAGTGTTGTGGAGCCGACGGTTGGCGCGACTGGCTTGCTTCAGATTGGGCTTCCCAGCATATGATTTTCCTACCTGTTGAAAACGGCACCTCAGTGTCCTTGCCAGATAGTTGCTGTGTGAAGCGCAAGGGTTGCAGGAATCGACCGTTCCTGATGGATGACAGCAACGGAGTAGCTGCAGCA